GCGGGGCTGTGGCTTGTGGACTCTGGGCTGTGCTGGGCCGGGCTCTGAATTCTAACCTCTGAGCTCTGACCTTGGCAGTTGGGGCTGGGCTTTAACCACTGGTTCCCCTCAGGTCCTTCCTCAGATCCCTGTGAAGAAAGGTGGCCCCCACGGGGCAGGGGTCCTCGGTGAGTGGCTGGCCCGCAAGGAGGGGGGCCTCACCCTGTGAGGCTTTAGATGTGGGAGGACTTGTTTGCATGCAGGCCCTTGCCCTCTGGGTGCCCCATCATGAGTGGGGAGAGGGGTGGTAGGTGAGAGGGAAGAGGTGGGTACCTGTTGGAGCAGCTTCTGCCCCTTCTCAGGAGTGCACCTGGAGGGCCCGTTCATCAGCCAGCAGAAGCGGGGCGCACACCCCGAAGCCCACCTCCGCTCTTATGAGACCAACGCCTTCCAAGATGTCCTTGCCACATACGGGCCTCTGGACAGCGTGCGCATCCTGACACTGGCCCCTGAACTGGGTCGCAGCCAGGAAGTCATCCGGGAGCTGACTTCCCGGGGCATCTGTGTGTCCCTTGGTGAGGGCCCATCCTGGGCAGGGGCGGACCCATCCTGGGCAGGGGCTGATGTGTCCCCTCCATGCAGGGCACTCGATGGCCAACCTACAGACGGCTGAGGACGCAGTGCGGAGCGGGGCCTCCTTCATCACCCACCTCTTTAACGCCATGCTGCCTGTGAGTGCGGGGCGGGGGGAGGGGTTGCTGCCCGGGGCCACACTGCTTAATGGACCCTCTCCCCCTCAGTTCCATCACCGAGACCCAGGCATCGTGGGGCTCCTGACCAGTGACCGGGTGCCCCCAGACCGCCCCATTTTCTACGGGATGATTGCTGATGGCATCCACACCAACCCCGCTGCCCTGCGCATCGCCCACAGCGCCCATCCCCGTGGTGAGGGGGCTGATGGGGGCAGGGATCCGTGCCCACCTGGCTGCTCTGCATTGCTGCCCGCCCCAGCACCCCCCCAGGGGGGCAGGGCAGGGCCAGGGGGGGGGAACCACACCATGTGTCACTCTGCATATTGCCTGCCCACTGTACCCACTCCCTAGTAGAGGGGGTGGGGCAGGACTGTGTATGGTGGTGAGGGGCAAGGCGGCCCACTCCCAGGGTGAGTGTTGGGGTAGGATGCAGGGGTGGTGAGACTGGGTGCACAGTAGGGCGTAGGGCGGGTGACGTGAGTACTGGGGTGGTGCCAGGGGAGCACACCCCACAGGTCTTCATCCCCCTTCCTCCCCCCAGGGATGGTGCTGGTCACTGACGCCATCCCTGCACTGGGTTTGGGCAATGGCCGGCACACGTTGGGGCAGCAGGTAGTAGAGGTGGACGGACTGTCAGCCTACGTGGCAGGTAAGTGGCCCAGCCCCTGCCTGTACACCGTGAGAACAGCTACTCAGGTGGGTGGCCAGAACCTGGGTCTCTGCTCTGAGCATCCCACTTCTCTTCTCCAGGCACCTCGACACTGTGCGGCAGCATTGCGCCCATGGACGTGTGCGTGCGCCACTTCCTGCAGGCCACGGGTCAGTGGGGCCTGGCTCTGAGGAGGGGGCGCTGGCAAGCAAGGGGCAAGGCGGCCTCATTCGTGGGTGGGGCGGTCTGGTCCCAGTCTGACACTGACCCGCACCCCTTCTCCCTGCAGGCTGCAGCCTGGAGGCGGCCCTGGAGGCTGCGTCCCTGCACCCCGCCCAGCTGCTGGGGCTAGAGCAGCACAAGGGGACCCTGGACTTTGGTGCTGATGCAGGTGAGGGCTGCCTCCCTGCTGCACAGAGACCCAGGAGGCCTCGGCAGGAAAGGTCAGGGTGTGCCCCCCCCACCCACTGGCTGGGGTGGCACTGTGACCTGCCCCTTACCTCGCCTCTCCCTGCAGACTTCGTGGTGCTTGATGACGCCCTCCATGTCCAGGCCACCTACATCTCGGGGGAGCTGGTGTGGCAGGCCACGATGGCTGGGCAGTGACTGAAGATGCTGGCCTTGCCGGGCCTGATAAAGCTGCATTGCAGGCACCTGGGCTGTCTTGGGTCTTGCTTGTGCAGCTCAGAACTGGGCCTCCGAGGTAGGCATGCAGCACTGTGTGGTGGAGGAGGCAGCTCACCCTGGGTGGGCCCCAGACTGCACCCAGCAGGAAGGTGGGCCCTCAGGTGGCGAGGTGATGGTGGTATGAGCCTAGGATAGGAGGCTGTCTGCCAGGGACTTTGGAGAGAAGCACCCAGACTTGAGGTTTGGGTGGGGGCCCCCAATGCAGGACCCAGGTGAAAGGCCGCTGTCATCCAGCTCGAGCGCGCGTGCGCGCGCGCGTACACACACAGTTTCTATGGAGCTCACAGTTCTCCACTCAGGGATATGGGCGACCCTGACTGGCACCCCCAGGCAGTGCAATTTGGTACAGTCCCCCTTGCCCACTGCACTAAGGTGATAGGCTTGCCTGCCCCAACCCCCTCTGAGGTCACCTTTGATATGCCCTTCACTGATTCCACCCCAAGGCTGGAGTTGGGGCTCAGTTTCCCAACCATTTGTAGCTTGGAGGAGCCTTGGTGGCACCACAGTTAAGCACTGCACTAACTGAGCGGTGGGAGGTCCATCCCCCCCCAGCAAGTAGCCCAGCACGCAGAAGAAAGGCCTGGAAAACTGTCCTTCAACACTGGCAGCCTGGACACCCCTGTCGGGGCAGTTCTCTCTCCACCACACAAGGTCACCCTGATTCAGAGGCGACAAGATGCAACCACAAAAACTGGACCTCAAGGGCAGGTCTCCACCCACCGGACTGGGCCAGTGTGGCTGCCTGCACTGCCCAGGGAAGTGAGGCACACAGCCGTGGGTGCCCATCAGTGCGCAGTGGTTAGCTGGGGGAGGGTCATCTCAGAGGGCAGGGCCTGAGTGAAGAACCTCCCCAGAACCAGAGACCAGGGGGCGGCAGCTCGGTGAAAAGCCAGCCCCAACTGCCCCAACTGGTGCTCCTGTTCCAAGGACTCAGGTGCCTAGTTGCCACTGGGTGTTTCAGAGGGTGGCTGGGGTACTCCAGCCCATGCGTTCCCCCAGTCCCCTACCCAGCACCCATGGGCTGGTGAAGCCAGGGTGTAGTGGGAACTGGTATCTATGGGGCTGGCTTCCAGCACAAAGGAGACTTGGACTCAAGGGACAGACAGCGTTGTCTTTAGCCCAGTGGACTGGGGCCATACTGACCTGTGGGCATAGCCTGGGTGGTCTGCCTATGGTGGACACGCTCTCCGAGCTGGAGCTGGGGAGAGAATCATGGGGAGGAGACACCAGGCAGAGGTGGTCGGATGGGGAGGGTCTAGGAGCGGTTTCACTGCGGGAGGAGCCAGATGGTTCTAGGACCAGCTTTCCTGAGTGGCTGCCTGCACTTTAGTCTGGCCTCCAGCTGGTGACCGCCCCCCAGGTGACTACACACTCTCTCCAACTCCAGGCTGACCAGGCTTGGATTCCTGGCTCTGGAACTCCAAGGACAAGTTGCTCTTGGAACAATGGGGCCGGTAGTGGAAGTGGGTGTTTAGTGAGGCCCAGCAGGGTGGTTAGAGTGTGCTACGGTGTCAAATGGAGTGGGGAGTCCCAGGTGATGGGCTGATTGGGGGAGCATGGCTAGCCCAAGGCCACTTCCCCAACCCACTCAACATTCCCACTCTGCAGGGTGTGGTCCACCAAGGGAGGGGCTCTTTCAAGGGAGGGGTCTGCTGGGGCAAATTTGACCAACTGGAGGGATGGCATGCTCTTCTCATTCCTTACGCCCCCCGCCCCTCCCTCTGAGTCTCTGCCATCATCCTCCTCCTCTCTGGAGACCAGAGGTGGGCCCAGTAAAAGCCACACCCAGAAGGGTACCTCCTGGCCCCCTCTTCTCCCTGAGCACCCTGCCCCTAATCACCAGCAGGTGGCTATGTATTGATGGCTGATTCCCCCCCCCCCCCCCCAGTAAACTGGGCACACTACCTGCTGTATTTCAGCTAAGGTGGGAGGGTCCTGCCCTGCTGCCCCGCCAGTAGGTTTGACTCTCAGAGAACCCTTTCCACCACTGTCCAAGGGACTCACCAGGCCTGAATGCCACCCTGAGCCCTGGTGGCACAGCAGTTAGGGGCCATCCAACAAGACCTGAAATACAAACCTATCAGCTGCTCCTGGGAGTGAGAAGCAGTGGCCTTCTGAATCCTCCAGGGGGGGCAGTTTTCCATCCCATAGGGCCCCAGTGAGGGCAGCCTTGGAAGCTTGGGCTCTGGACCCACACAAGACCCAGATGTCTGGAAGGTGGTGGGAGCCGGGGTTCTCTAAGACATGCAGCTGCAGGACCCTATCTCTGGTTTCAAGGAGGCCGGAAGTGTGCAGTGGGCCTCTCTAAGAGCAAAGGCAGGTGCGGGTTCTTAGGAGAATTGGCCTCCTTGCTTTTTTTTTAAGACTAGGCAGGCGTCCTCAAACTACAGCCCATGGGCCACATGCAGGCCACCGAGGACATTTAGAGGACATTTATCCCACCTGCCGGGTGTTTTTGCCCCGTTTGTTTTTTTACTTCAAAATAAGATGTGCAGTGTGCATAGGAACTTGTTCATAGTTTTTTTTTAAACTATAGTCCGGCCCTCCAGCGGGTCTTAGGGACAGTGAACCGGCCCCCTGTTTTAAAGGTTTGAGGACCCCTGCTCTAGAGCAGCGGTTCTCAGCCTGTGGGTCATGACCCCTTGTGGGGGTCAAACAACCCTTTCACAGGGGTCGCCTGATTTACAACAGTAGCAGAATGACAGGATGAAGTAGCAGTGAAAATCATTTTATGGTTGAGGGGTCACCACATGAGGAACTGTCTGAAAGGGCCGCGGCGTGAGAAAGTTGGAGAACCACTGCTCTAGAGGCTGCGCGGACACAGTGGTGACACATGGGGCTGCTACTGGCAAGGGCAGCAATTAGAATTCCTCCTTCACTCCTCAGGAGAAATACGAGGCTTCTCTTAAAGACTTAAAGCTTGGGACACCCACAGGGGCAACTCTGTCCTGTGGGTCGTGAAGAGTTGGAAGGCAGTGGGTTTAATGTGATGTTGAGAGGCTTCCCCAACTCCTGGGCACACGGACCCTTCTCGTCTTCAAAGCCAGCATTGCATTTGCATCACGCAGACCCTGGTTCCCCGGGAGTTTCTTAAAGACCCATGTGATTACATTGGGCCCACCTGGATAATCCATCACAATCACCCTACCTTAAAGTCGTGAAAAAGAAACACTGGAGCCATGGTGATCACAACAGCTAGGAACTGGTTCCATGAAAGACAGAAAGACTACGGAAATTATATAATCTCGTGTCAAACGGGTGAAGTCTAGCCTGTCGATTGGGCCCCAGCCCAATGGTGCCTTCTTGTGGGTGTGGCCTCCTCATGAGGACCCTGGGAAAACGCCCCCCCCCCCTTTCTCTCTGGCTTCACTTTCCTGTGGAGACCTGCCAGACCCTGTGATGATCCTCGATACACTTCCCCACCCGCAAGTGGTGTGCCTGCACGCTGCAGCGTTGCATGTTCAATGAGTCTGAAGAAGGATTTATGGACTTGCATTGGACATACGGACTTAAGTTGCACTGGGCTGGAACGTTTTCTTGATACCCAATTACACCTTGATATAAAGCACTTTCTTACACATATGTGTGTTGTCACTGATTTGTTTCTCTAGCCAACCCGACCTAACACATAGGCCAATGGATTAGAATGGAGAACCCAGAAATACAGCCACATACCTATGTTTAACAGAGGGCTAGAAGACATGTAAGTGGTGAAGAGATGGCTTTTTTAGCAGACGTTACTGGAAAAATTGGATCTTCACTTGCAAAAGAATGAAACAGGACCCATATCTCACACCATGCACAAAAACAAACTCAAGATGCTTCAAAGACCCAAATAGGAAGACCATCAATGAAAAACTAGGGACAAATTTAAAGTTCCTAATACAGGAGTAAACTCCCTGCTGAACATACTGAAAAGTGCACTGTGAAGAACCAAACGGGGCCTTCTCAATGAAGGCATTTATGCACATCAAAAGACCATCAAGAGTTAAAAGAACCCAGAGGTTGGGGAAAACGTGATATGTCAGAGAAAAGGTTAATTCCCGAAATGTATAGAAAATGAAATAGGAAGTTGAAGCAAAATTTAAAATACAAATTTCAAGGTAATCTCAACCATTAGGCTCAAAAAGTGCCTTTTGTTACAGTTGTTATACTGTGCAGCCTAAAGTTAATCTCGTGAACTTCTACTTGATAAATCTATACTAGATGAACTGTAGCTAGGATAAAACGGTTAATGAAGATAACGAACTCGAATAACCTTAATCTGTAGGAAGCGTGACTAGAGAAAGAAAAGGAAACCCCTGGCAGAGGAGAGGAGTCCTGGTGGTACAGTGATTGTGGGTCAGGCTACCACCCGTGAGGTCTGCGTTTGAAACCAGCAGCCACTCCACGGGGTTGAAAGACTGCTTTCCACGCCTAGAAAGAGTTGGTCGGGCTCATGTGGGAAGAGAATGCTTTGAAAATGATGATGGCAGCAAATGTGCTTGACACTGGTTGAATGTATGCATTGTGGTAAGAGATGTAAGAGCCCCCAGCAAGAATGTTTAATCACAGAAAAGCCTCGGAAAACCACCAGGGCAGTTCAGGCTGTCCTGCAAGGCCATTCTGAGTTGCAGTGACTTGATGGCAGGGAGTTGGGTGGTTTTGAGTTGTCGGTTGGCCGGAGCGTTTCCAGAGCGGTCAGCTTTGTTCTTTTATGGGAGGAACCCACAATGGGCTCAGAGATTTCACAACTGTGAGGATGGCCCTGCACCGGGCAGGCAGTGCCTCCTTTTGGGGGTTACTGTGGCTCACACCTACTAGATGGCACCTAACAACAAATTTTTTAAAAATAAAAGACGGTGCTCTTCATTTACAAGGCCAGTGTGGGAGTTGAAGGGAAGTGGTCAGGTAAGCTGCAGACATCCTCTCTGGTCTGCTTGGGCCCCTCTCCCAGCTAGAGCACATTCTGTCCCTCTTGCCTCCG